GGCATCGCGGGAGAGTCAATGCCCGGAACGAAGAGCCGACTATACCCAATGTGGTGGCCGATGCCCATCGCGGATATAGTCCCGCCCCCACCCTGAACGAAAACCAGAAAAGGGAAAGAAACAGAAAAGGAAGAATGCGCGAAACACCTCCCCAAAAAAATAGAAGCCACGGTGCATGCTGGGCTTCTCCACAAGAAACGATAAGGGAGAACCGAAAAAAGAGGGAAAAACAATACAAAAGACGCAACAGCCGCCGCGATGCCTGACGCAAAATAGATTGCGGGAGACCAAGGCGTCGGACTGACGACAAACATGACGCGCCGAACACGCATCGCGGGAGTCGCTATCCGAACGCCACGACCAAAAGACGCAACAGCCGCCGCGATGCGCGATGCAAGCGGGAGATCAAGGCGTCGGTCGGACTGAGGAAAAATATGACGCGCGGGAGAATCGTCTTCAGAACGCTCAAGTCGAGCGCAAGACGGACAATGCAGCGGCGATGCGCCCAACGCGTATACACCGCTCCGCACTGCACCGACGGCCAAACATCCATCCCCGCGTCCGAACGAAAGCCAGCGCAAACCGACCACAGGTAGGTCGCGTCGCTGATCCACGCCCACATCTCGTCGCCGTCGATCCGCCACGCGGTGCATCCGTCAGCTGCGAGGTGTGCACGGAACACCAAGAAAAAAAAATCGGCGCGCATCGTCGTGCCCGAGCGCCCCACCCAACTCGAGACCCGACAATCCGCCACCGCACCTGGCCCACCACACAGCACACACACGCCGAGCCCCCGCACGGCCCACACCATCCATCCTCCGCGTCCGCGTCCAGAACGGAACGCAAACCACACATGGGCCGCGCCGCCGATCCACCTCCACATCTCGTCATCGTCGATTCCGATCCGCCACATGATGCATCCACAGGTCAATGGGGCGGGGCGTGGTGGGTCCGACACCGCCCCCCCAAAAAAAAAAAAAAATCGACACGCATTCCGAGGAAATCGTCGTCCAGACCCCGACGGTCCAGCCGCACCTAGCCCGCCCGCCACGTCGCCGCACTACCCACACATCCATCCATCCATCCATCCATTCCCCGCGTCCAAACAGAAGCCGCCCTATGTACGGAGCGCAAAACCGCACATCCACGTCCACGTTCACATCCACCACATCCACATCCACATCCCGTCACCACCACACGGACGAACGAACGCATCCCCCACCGCCTTGCCTTGCCTTGATCAAGCAAAAGCAGCAGAGAGGGTATCGCACTCGGTCCCGTCCGGGATGCGTAGGGCGGGGGCACACAGGTACGTCTTTCTTCCACGTCCTTGGCGCGGCGTTTGCAGCACACCGCACGTCGAGTTGCTACCGTGTCGTGCGCGACGTCCACGTCTGCACACATCTATCCACACCCCGCGTCCAGAACGGACGGAGACCCTGCCTCGCCCCAAAAGACACGTCGCGGCACATCCACCACCGGCGATACAAATCCACCGTACCGCACGTCGAGCACGACACGACGTCCATACATCGACGCCGCGTCTAATCTAGACCGGAGAGCAACCGACCCCCGCGCTTTGCCCCGCCCCGGAAACAACGTCTCGGCATATCCACTATACCGAACGTCGTGCGCGACACATCCATCCAACCCCGCGTCCAAAATTAAAAACAGGATGATATCTATCATCCCCCGCGCCTTGCCTCGCCCCGAAAACACCGCAAGGGGGGATTGGATTGGATAGTCCCCAGCAGCCCACACCCGGGCTCGAGCAGCGCGTTTCGATCCCAGAAGAGAACGAAAGCAGGACGAAGGAAAGGAAGGAAAACAAAACGGCAAAGGCGAAAAAAAAGGAGGAAGGAAGGAAGGAGCGAACGCAGAAAACAGAAAGCAGAAAGAAACAGGGATTAAAAAACTCACGTTGTAGTTCTGCAAACGAGGCAAACATCAAAGTCAGTAAAGACTCCAACAGCGAGATGATGAGGGCAAGTAGAAAGAGAGAAGGAAACACAGCCAACCCTTGCGAACGGAGAACACAGAACACGAAAGAGCGCCCGTGAGCGTGCTAGCCTTGCACCTCAAGCCAAGCCAAGACAGCCCCAATACAGCACACCACACCCCTTGGAAGGACACCTTCCGATCTCCCGCCGGGGAAAGGCACGCAACGCAGATACAGCGTCAAGCGTTCCCTTCCCAAGCCTTGCACAAACATCGCGCGCCCACCACACCACACGTCCAAAACAAGCGCCCACACACCACACGTCCAAGACAAGCGCCCACCCAAACGCCGCGCCCGCGCCCGCCGTCCGTCACCCACATCGACACCCGATGGCACATCCCGTCCGTCACAGACAGGCGCCCCTGCCGATCCGCCACAGGCACGCAACGCTCTCGGAGATGGCTACCAAGTCCCGTCTATGAAACGGAAAAACGGAAAACGGACGGGGGGACCCCTGAAACGGAGAGCAGACCCGCGCTTGCACAAACACCTAGCGGCGGGAGCCCTTACACACGCAGGCAGTCATATCGCGCGCCCCAGCCCCAGCCCCAAGTGCGTACCCACCCACGAACGCGCGCCGATCCGCCACCCCTCTTCCGCGGGCCTCCGCCTCCACCTCGTTTCGGTTTCGGTTTCGCGGGAGATGGGTATCACCAAGTACCTCGCGCGTACCGCCTCGAACGAGCGTCCGGATCCGGATCCGGGAGGGGCTCCGAGTATGCGCATGTACCCGCAGGGACAGGGCGCACGGAGCGCGAGGTGCGAGGTAGGCAGGACGCGGGTGGGCTGAAGCACGGGTGACAGACACGGACACGGACACTCGGCCCCTTCCCATCGAGAAAGAAAAGAAACGGAAAGGAAGGAGACTCACGTTGGACTTGCGACGCTATAATCAAGAAAGAGGACAGTCAGCGTTTGTCGTGTTAAATAGACAGATTAGAGATTAGGGATTAGAAAGGATAAGAAGGCAGGAGATGAGAGTAGAATAGAGAGAAGAAGGGAGGAATGAAGGATGGATAGGAATGACTCTGAAAGAATCCATCGATCCAACGCCACAAATGCAGAAGCAAGTGGTCGTTAGCGACTCGCAATGACGATGAGAAGCTAGGTACGGTGGCTGAAGGCAGCACGAATGGACGTCGTACGCGCGCATGCACGGGCTGCGTGAGGATATATCGTCCGGGTGCGGATCGCAGGCACCGCGAATGCAATTGAATGAAGACAGCGTCGAGGAAGACTTGGCGCAGGGCAGCGCGGCTCGTCGAGGGAGCAGTGGGAATCGAGTGATACGAGACTGGGACGACAAAGCCCGAGCCCGCGACCGATCGATCCTGATGCGCAACGGCGCTGAGACGCGGCGACGGGTGCGGAATCAAATCCGCCGCAGCGATGGCGCCTACGTGCTCATTCGCACCATCCTGCGCCCAAAAAAGAAAGAAAAGAAGCAAAAAGACTCACGTCTTGCCCACGGCAACTCGCTGTCCTCATCGTCCTCCTCGCCAGGCACTTCAAGCGCACTCCCGTTCGGCCCCCCACCAAACCCACCGGGACTGTCAAAATCAATCCCCAGCCCCTCCCCCCCGCCAATCGCCACGCTCAGCGACGGCGCCGCAGAGGGAGTCGGGCTGGGACTGCGGTTGTGCCCCCACGCGACCTGGGCCTGGTACGCCTGGGCGGGGGTCAGGCCCTGCGCGTCGGGCGGGCGGTCGGGCGGCGGGGCGGGGACGCCGGGCTGGTACGGCGGGCGCAGAGATGGCGCGCGAATGGAGGGCGCGCGGGCGCCGGGCGGGGGGCCGGCGAGGTAGGCGCTGCCGTATTGCGGGGGGCCGACGTATTGCTGGGGGTGGGGGTGGTGGTACGGGGGCGCACGGGCGTAGGCGCTGGGTGCGGGGCCCGGGTATGGGTGGTATTGGGGCTGCTGGGGGTAGTTGTAGTGCTGCGGCGGCGGGCGGGGCTGCTGGGGCGCGTGGGTGGGGCGGCGGCCGAAGATGTCCTCGTAGGCGGCGTGGCGCTCGGGCGGTTGGCGGGGGCCCAGCGGCCGGTCCATTAATGCAGACGGTGCAGAGCGAAGCAGAGAGATGATGCGGCGATCAGATGAGATGCCGGATAACTCCACAGACGTCACGTCTCTCTTAAGTACAGCGTCAATTTGTCGTTCAACCTAAGCTCGTACAACACATTCCCTCCCCTCGCCCAATCCTCTCATCCACAATCCCACACAGCGCTTCTCAACTTCTCGTCGCTCCCAGTCGACCACCCCAGCAAACCCACAAAAGCAATATTGTGCCACTGCCGTTGGACCCTAGGGCTAGACCCCGTCTCGTAAACCAACCCAACAGCCTCCGCGTCTCTTTCCTACTTCTGCGCAGTCCGTCCCCACCTGCACCCGACAACCTCTATCCAGCTGCGTGATACACATCTCCGCCACAACCCACCGCCCATCCACATTACCTTTCTCCCTCCTCTCCTCGTCTGGCAGGACTCTAATATTGGCGCGCGCCAGCCTTCTTGCGTCCGCGGGTCCAGTAAACTCCCCGGGTGTAGCGCCCGCTGTGCCTTGCCGGAACTCGACAACCCGCTCACCAACAAATCCATTTAACACGTCGGCAAGGCATCGAACCCTAGCCAACTACTTCCTCCGTGTCTCACCCGCACAACACGGTTATTCCATCACCACAATTTCCTTAAATCCTCCCTCATCTAGCCACAACGCAACTCGGTATGATATGATACATTTCCCTCTCCGCGATCGCTAAATTAAAAATAATCCCTCAAAACACAATTCAGCGCCTCCTTCCCCAAGTCCACTTTTCACGTCACCCTACTACAATCCCCCAACATTGCATTAATGGGGTAGTGGTAACCTGGGTCGTTGCTATTTCTTCCTCCAGCATAATCTCGTCAACTCCACGTTCGACCTCCCTCAAATCCTTTCAGCCCAGTCCAACATTCCCTCTCTCTCCTTCCGCATCCTATTCTCTTTCATAACCTGCAAAACATCGCATTAATGGGGTAGTGGTAACCTGGGTCGTTGCCATCCGGACTTTCGTAATCCAAAGTTCGACCCGCCGGGGGTTCGATTCCCTCTTAATGCAATGGACTTGTTTCACACAGTTTTTGCATGTTTGCTCTAGGTGAGTAGCTCATTCTCCTCCCTTTTTTTTTTTTTTTTTTCGTCGTTGTGTTCTTCAGACCAGGCCAGGCCAGATGAGGTATTTTCTGTAGTGTATATATGTCTTTGTCATGCCGTGAAACACGGAAAGAAAGAAAAGACAAGTACCTACTAGAGCCACTGACAAATTGACCTATCTCCTACCACAGTGGCCCTCCATCAGTCAGCGCGACCAACTCCAACTTACCCCAGTTTCCCTCCTCTCCTCAACCCTCATAGCCCTGGATCAAAATTCATTTGTTATTTGGGCACAAGGAGAGGAGAATTTAGTTATGTATTATGTAATGAGTAATAAATGAGAACTGCCTTCAAACCAGAGTGTTGGCAACTGCACCACTCAGAGTCAGAGGAGAATTGACTTGGTGGAAGGAAAGCAGATGAGATGCATGGCTTGAAGTACACTGCCAAAGTGCAAACACATGTTCACGACCTGGAAAACTCACATAAGAGCCACATTTTCGGACACCTGGTCCCAGCTCCCAGCCAGGATAAGACCACCTGGAATTTCCATCCAAAATTCTAGCTGGCTGCCAGGGACATTCCACATGGTTTCAGCATCATTTTGCCAGCCTGCTTCCAGGTCTTACATTTCTGGAATAACAATAGTTTTGGGCAATATTTTCACGGATTATTTAAGGCACCGTCTGTAGTACCATGCACCAGGATAATTAAGTACAACTCACGGTGAACCAACCGCCACCACGAAGGCTGCCGCGTCACTGCCATCAGCGTCAGGTCGCACCCGGTCACAGCTCTGAACTCCTGCCTCCGGAAGTCTGGTAGAAGAATGCTGTGGAGAGATGAAATGCATTGCATTCAATTTTATGTACTTCTGATCTCCTCCAACTGGCGAAGGGAGGTCCGTGCACTTGTTTGGCAGTGCATCCCTCGTCACGTGCATGTTGGTCGCGACTTGAGTGCTTTCTTCTTCCCCCCACTTCCTATGTCCATCTCCTTCTTTCATCAATCCCGACATGAAGTGTCGGTCCTGTATGGCTGCTACTCGATGGAAGTGCCAAAGTCGGAGCCCCGACAAGGTGCAAAGATGTGTACAAAGAGGTTCGTCCTGACTCCCCAACTGCAAGGCCTCTCGTCCTTCGACGCCCCGCAAAGCCGGTGGCTGGGCAAAGTTCAGAAGCGACTCCCACAAGACGTGACCTACGGCCTCGACGACACCGTAGCCGTGCTCACAATGTTGCCACCGACGACGTAGTACGAAGCTCGGGCTCCGGGGTGCTTTTTTTTATCACGGCCCTGCAGCTACGGCGTAGGACACTTTCAAATACCAAGATACTCCCTAATTCCGATGTCTCTCTGGGTCTCGGCCATCAAGTCTTCCTTGAAACCACTGTCTTTTGTATTCGATAAGCCGCAACTTTTCAAGATCCAAGTCCAACTTCTTTCGTCGTCGTTCTGCAAGCATTCAAGCCGTCAATTCTCGTCCCATGAAATTCATGCTTCAAATTTTATTCCTAAGCACCTCAATCCCTCAAGTTTGTGTCGCTCAATCTTCCTTCGCCCTTCCTCTATTGCCCCCAAGTCCTCAATCCGGCCCTTCAAGATTTGTGTCATGTATTACCTCCTCGCCTCTCCTCCACTGTGCTCCAGGAGGGGTTTCGATCCCTCAAGATTTGTACGTTCTACACTTCCTATTACTTGATTCCTCTGATTCACTTTTCTCTACAGCATTTCGGCACATTTTGGACCTCATCGACATCGGGGCTCGACATTAGGGCCATCGATGTAGTAACCTCTGTTCAAGCCGACGCCGACACATAATAGATCATGTAGTACTCCGACTTGTAGACATCTCACACAATGAATCTTATCTTCAACCATGCATTGCAGTAGCCGGCGGCGGGCGACGGGACGGGAATAAATTGAAAATGAAAGGATACATTTGCCACAGCAGCTGAATACCAGGTTCTGTTCACAGCTGGCCTCCAGCCCGACCTGGCTCCATGCTGGAGCTATTCGCTATTGAACCTGACATCAGTCTGAGCGGCAGCTGGCCGCCATTCTCCCGTGCCATGTATCACACATATCAACCGCACCTGTCCGCCAGGTGTCGGCCAAATGGCGGTGTATGCCAGTGTCGCAAAAGTGCTTTTTGGAAGATAAGCCGATATAATAAACTACAAGCCTGGATAAGTCTGCAAGATTTTTTGGGGGGTCTATAGACTTCAGAAAGGCGCTATCCTCGGTTATAAGGAATTACGGAACTTATAAGGGCTATAAGGTGTTACACAGCTTATTGGAGCTTATGGCTCTCTACAGTTGGCTTCCTTGCCGAGGGCCAATGCAGCAAATCTTTCCCACCCTTGTTCAGTAAACCCACAGCACTTGCGAAAGGAAAGAAAGGATTATTTATTCAATCTACACAACAGTACACAAGTAATACAAATTATGCGTACCCTATGAGGAATACTGTTAGGCATCGGTTGCTGGGCAAATATGCAGGGATACGTACCTGGGCGGCGGAGAGATGGTAAGGTAAGGGGACAAATTGGGTGTGTGGGCACTGAGTATCCGATGTTGATGCAGAGACGATAGGCGAGCGGCCAAAGGGCGACAAAAGGAGAGTGACAGAGGAGGCTCACCGGAGCGGTGTTAGTGTCCTTGGGCGAGCACGTAGGAGGGTGTACGCCGCGGAAGGCCGCGCTTGTGCAGGAACTACTACAGGCGTGGGCATAGGTGCGTCTTCTATTGGTCCAAGTCAGACAGCCATCAGAGAGTATGAAATGAGCAACACATCGGTGCTTCTGATGATAGAATGAGGACCTGGGTGTGCCAGACAGATGAGCGGTGTCGTGGGTGGTGGTTGAAGGCAAGAGAGGTGGAGTCACAGAGTCACACTGGGGTGATTTATATCTATTGCGGTAACATGACATCATGATCACTTTACTCCACATAACGGCCTGCACGCTTTCTCCCGCTCTCTTCGCACATTTAACTGCTCTACAATGCCTGTAATATGTGGGTCCGACTCAGATACCACTCACGTCTCCGACTCCGAGCCAGAGAGAGAAGCAGCTCGATCACGAGCTCGCAAAATCCCACGTTCCAAGTGAATCATGAAGAACAATTTGATTGTGTGGCCATCAACATGGACAATGATCCCTTAACGTTTGGTAGAATTTTGTTCTTGTTCCAATGTCGCCTCCCATCCGGTCGGACCAAGGACATTGCACTGGTCCGGTTGTTCAAGAAGTCCAACTGGCGGCGCAACACTCTTTGGAAGAATTGCCGAATTTTTGAAGACAGTCGCACAGTCTTCATCTTACCTCGGTATTTTGTGCGCAGAGCTCACATGGTCAACTGTTTTGGGTGCAACAGGGAGGATCACACGTTCTATTTGGATGATGTAGTCGATTTCGACTGGCTGTTGCGTGCTGGTAATTAATAAATCATGGAATTGTTCAAAATATACTATCTGAGCATCCTCCCAAGCCTTCAATCTCGCAAAATAGCCTGGAAAGGATGCAAAGTTATAAGCACTTATTGGCTGAACCAGAGGTTTAGCTACCCAGGAGAAGATGTGTTTTGGCCCGTTTTGCTACAAGTACAAACAAAGAATTCATCATCTGAAATTGGTCATCATTGAAAATCAGAGCAACAGAGAACTACTAAGGGGATTTTTCGAGTCCAAGTCACAAAAGCCCCTCTGATCCCCCATCCTCTCATTTTCCTGATTTTTTAGGTCTGGCTTACAATTTATTATGCCTTGAAATCTTGCTCAGTTGATGTGTCACCTGTGCTTAGTGTTCAAACAGCATATCAATTGCCATGTCTACGAGATCACTTCATCTCCATTGGACTGCCGTCTCCTTGCCGCAAGATCAGCGTGGAGTTTATTCTGCATAGAGGTGAGTATGGGAGCTACCTGACATTTGTTTCTCTTTTTTACTTGGTGGCATTCATTCCACTAACTTACCAAATGCCAGAGGTTTGTTTTCCAGGGCAGTAGCAATGTGAGCTGAGTTGAACATCCGGCCCCAGTCTCGGCTGTCATCTTGAAACTGATGACAACAATGCACCAGTCTGGCTTCGACTCCCAAACGGCTGGTCGGTACCCTTCGGTAATGGTTAATGCTGGCTGCCATTTATCGGAAATTAAAGGCTCATTTGTGCCGCAAACGCTCAGTGATGGCCGCCGTATTCCAGTGGAGCTCACTGGTTTCTTTCACACTCTATTACAATGTTTTCGCCGGTGTCTGCCAAAACGAGTGTGATTTGTGGTTCTTTAATCCTGGAGGCTGTCACTGTCCTGTCGCATTTCAAGGAAATTGACCAATGATATCCCGAGACTTGGATGTTCACAGTTGAAAGATGCTCAAACATGCCAAAATCTTTGATTTTGATTCAAGAGTCATCCATAACCTGCTGGTTGACTTCAACAGCATAAAACCTGCCAAAAAACAGAGCCTAATCTGAATGAGACTCATTGCTTGGTAAATTTTGCCCTACCCTGAAAAAAAGTCAAAATGGATAGTCTTTGTTGATTATATTGAGAGGAAGGAGTGGGGGATCAATTCACAGTACCATAGAATCATAACAAGACTCATCTCCACTGTTTTACTCAGGACTTCTGCCTCAATTAAAAACAATGTGGCACAGTGACAGCTGGTCGACGTGGCCGAAAGCCTTTTGTCTGAAATTTCACTTAGAATCAACTGCTCTGTATGAAGTCTGGAAAGTGTTGCCCAGTTATCAGAGTGTCTTTATGCAGCCTCCCGAAGGTTCAGCCACCCGCCTCGCAGAGGCCTATGTAATCCCACGTCATAAGTACTTATACCCCATTTGTAAGCGGGGTATAACTGTCCTGTAACCCGCCTATAAGCCTGTAACCCTTTGTAACCTCTTATAGTCGCTCGGGCCCTTTTGCGACAAGGAGCTACGTGCAAAATTCAACCAGTCGTGATC